AGACAAGACTGGAAAATTTGATCCAGCTAGTCTATGGTTACCCTAGGATAAAGCAGTGAAAGCTTCATTTCTTTTCAAATATATGTATTCCAGATGTTGTTGCATTCATGTAGTTGCAACACCCACACAGAGTTATATCTTGTACTTAAATTACCTTTTGATAGTTTGATTTTTCGTTTTTCAGAAATATAATCCTCCACTTTTTTTCTGGGCAAATGATTCCACAGTATAATAGAATTATTAACTCCTCAAAAATCTTCTGTTCAAACATCAGACTTGCCTGACTAAGGATAAGTGTCTTTAATATATTTGAAATAGCAATATTTTGTATTTGATTTCCTGTTATTATACAAGTTCAGTAAATGACTTTCTCATCAGTGTTTTTAATACGAAAATGTGTACATGTAAAATGGCAATAATGTGACATTTCACCCACAGGGCCATAGCAGGAGACTAGAAAACCCAGAAACTATTCCTTTCATTACTCTATCTACTTTTTGTCCTCAGCTAAATTACATCAAATTTGTGCTACCTCAATTTCCCTAATTTGAAATTGAGATTGAGATACCTCACTCCATATGTGATGTAGCTAAATATTTCTTCATATAAAATGGGAAATCCTTTAGCAAAATTGACTCAGTGCAAATAAACTAGTGCAATGTTATGGTTGAGAATCTGAACAGAGAGCTATCAAAAAATGCAAAGGCAAACTCCCACAGCAATTATAAAGTAGGTCATGTTGAATGTATGTGTTAATGCATTGAAGACACATATACTTGCTCAGTAAAAACTGAAGTGGAAATCATGGCTTTAAATGTCCAAATGTCTATGAGTTCAAATTCTAATGCAGTGTTATAGTCTGAAAGTTCTATTTTCATTTAATAAGATCTGATAACAAATAACGCATTGTTTGCATTTTATTCAATCACTTCTGATTCTCTGCTCTATTGATCAATATGATTCTTTTCCTTTTATCTTGACATTGTAGCAATCTATGTGTAGACCTGCAATGACACTGCTTCATTTGACATTGTAATATTCCCTGTACAGCTGTATTTACATAATTTCAGCCCTTCAGAATGACAATAAGTCCCATGAAATCAAATGATGAGCTAGTATTATCACAAAAATAACGTGAAAAATAACATAGCAATAACTTAGCTATCCAAGCAATTCAAAACATAGATCTTTTTTAATATAATTTCTTTTTCTGTCAATCGTGAGTGAAATTTCTCTTCGTATTAGCTCTTCTGTTTTCACAGTTTAAAAAATGTCCTGGAAAAAATGAATTACCAAATACATATAAGGTCTGTCTAATAGGTCCATCTAGTTAAAAAGTTGATAGCAAATATTTAGAGAGGAAGATGAGAAACAGGACATGAATACTGTGTTCTTTCCCATGGCAAATAAACATGGCAAAATACACAGCAATCGTCATTCAGGAACATCTTGAAATTGAAGTTGCAATTGGAGTACTACCGATACTGTTACTATATAGACCTTTTACTAACTCTCTAATATATTTTGACACCTTTTAAAACTTATTCTCAGAGTGTTTTTGGAAGAGCTCTGCACTATGCAGAAGTATTTTTCCTGTTGTATATTGTAAGGCTAAATCTCATTTTTGGAATAGAAATCCACAGACTCTGTGAATCTTTAGGTATTTAAATAGAGATGTTTATTCTAATAAACCGGACCTATCTTTCATCTCCAGGAGAAGATGTATATGTAAATGGGAAAGCTTACTCAAACTGCATTTTACATTAACTTAGTAACTGCGGTGAGACAGCATATCATTCTAGGAAAAATATTTAGAGACTACATAATGAGCTTGAGTTATTAAAAACTGAATTATCTTGAAAAGGGGTGATTTAAATTAAAAAACTGTGCAAAGACACAAAAACAGCACAGTAATTCTTTATGATGTGCCTCTGTGAACTCGGTACATTTTCTCCTGGAAGGTAACTCCAAACGAAACACGTGACTTAGAACTGATATCAAAACCCAATGATGCTATATGCAATTCACATCTGATGAATTTAAAGTCACAGTTTTCATTAAAGTTTGCTTATTCATCACACAGGCTGAAATCCATTCTTTTTATTTGTGTGGGTTTTTTTTTTCTTTTCAGTGCAGTTGCCATTACCTTTCATCTTGCACAATAAAAAAGCAGAATCAAAAAAGCTACAGTAGTTACTTCTGATCTGTGGATTATATTTTATATATACAAATTATTTCCTATGGGAAATCTCTGCTCTAATTTACAGGTAACCATTGCCTTGATCTTTCTGGCCAGCTAGATATGATGAGAGATGGGTTAGTTGTTGAGATCCCAAATCTTAGTTTACACATCTGAGGCAACTGGCAGTAAAGAGAAAGAGTCTTGAATGTTGCTCTCAGCAAAACAGTAATACTTCTATCTAAGCAAAGCAAAGCATCTGCTGCATCAATAATAATATCTAAAGAGGGTGGACTGATAGCGATTTAACTGGGGCTATCCTGCAGCAGTACAACATTCACAATGCCCAGATATTCAGGTTGTACTCTGAGAAAACTAGTAGTCACAAAAAATCTGACACATTCTCTCTCCCCTATAGAGTAGGAATTATTCTTGTGCTGCAGCTGCTGATGCTTTTTTATTTGCTTTTTAAGGATAACAGTTCACTGGGGGTTGGGAGGTAGTTATTTTTGAATCCCAGCAGCTCTCAGAGAGTGAGGGACGGGTGTGGATGGCTGGTTACCCCAAACAGGTTCCCTGGAAGACACTGTTCCAAAACTCAAGGCAGTTATTCTGTTTCTAGCAGTGCAAAGCAAACTCCCTTGTGTCTTCTGCAGCTTTTTCCCCAGGGAGAATTTCATCAGCTCATGGTCACCTGCTGACTGTGGGATAATTTCGTTTTCTAATCAAAATTAAGACACTGCTAAAAAAAAAAAAAGAGATTTACTCTTCTAGAGCAGTGATGCTATTATGTCATTATGCTGGCCACTCTCCTTTATATGTCCTGTTTCTAATAGAAAAGAGATTTTTCTAACACAGACCCAGTTGAACTATATAATAAAATATGATGAATACACTGTTTCCATGTTAGCATATGCGCATGGTTTGGGGGTTGTTTTTTTGTTGTTGTTGTTACTTTTTTTTTTTTTTAAGATCACTGAATCCTTCATAGTATTCACAATAAAACAAGTTTAACACTTCTGCAGTGACCACTGCATAGCTCCTTAAGTTTCATACTATAAAGCAGTCAATGTATTTATAGTTCCTGAAAATGTCACATGGCAATGTTATGCCAGGCACAGCATATCTCAGTGACTCCTTAGGATGTCTGCATTGTTGTATTCTATTTGTAGAGACATTTTTGTCAGCAGCGATGAAGAAACAGAGCTGTTGCTGTAGCGCTCTCAATAACATTCAAGCTTATAGTTGACCCGAGGGGCTCACATTATGACATCCATATTTAATTTAAGAGCAAATCATATTTTCACAGACCACAGTATTGCATTATAGGCTCACTTCTCGATGTGCATGGAAACGCAGAAACAGCAGCCTAGTATGTATCTACATCACAGACTAAATGGTTAGTTCATGAGAGCAAGGTCAAAGTGTGCAGTGACAACAATGCATACAAGGTTTTATTACAACTCTCAGAAGTCTACGGGGAGAAAAGGACACACACAAAAAAAAAAAAGGCAGACCAGAAGGGACTGCAAGTAACTTAAGGTGCATTTTTAAAAGCCTCTTAACTGTACCATCTGGCTTACTTTTTGTTTTTCTTCTGTCCTGCACATCCTATTGCAATCCACATTCCCTGTATCTCATTTTCTTTTTTGCTTCATTCCAACATATTTAAGGGAAAAATTAACAGCATCTCAACTTTAAGAGTTTTATATAAAATATAAGGTGAGGATACTATCAATCCAATAATAAAATATTGAAATATTTGTATTTATAAGTGCAGTCATGGGCTGTGGATACACTTCTCGCTGTAGTGAGGGAAATTTATTTCTTTGTTAAACAAAATGGTTATAAAAAAGGAATGTCAAATCCTACACTGAAACCCACATAGGCCCCTGTAATGACCCAGAGCTCACTGCATGAATGAGCCTGTATTGGTGGTTTCAGAAGTTAGCACAAAAGATAAGGAATTGCTGTCAAGTTGATACTGTATGCAGTACAATTAAAGTAAATGCTCTGCTTTACATAACACTTAATAAATGTATAAGCATATAAATCTCGAATAAAGTGAACACATTGGAATATCCTGTTCTGCAGGACATCTGAGTTGAAAACTTGAACTTGTGGCTCACTTGTGGACTAGTACACAGTGAGTTCACTCAAAATATAGCCAGAAGGTCTATTCCCTGTGAGTTATCCCTGAGAATACTACCAACATGAGAAAAATAGAGACAGAATTTCCAGAAGACCTCTGCATTGGACCAACTTTGTTTTTATCAAAGCTAATAGTAAAACATCTTCTTAAAAAGTAGAATTATACCTGTGCCCATCCTGAGGACTTTGCCAGTACACTTTTGACCATCCTGACACAAAGGCAGAAATTGAATTGCAAGGGCTTAATGACTTTGCACAGGCATGAAATATTGCATGAGATGGTTGTATTCTGTGAGGGACATGAGACCTAATGGTCAGGTTTTTAGGTGCACTTAACTTTATCTTTCACAAGGAGGAGTGTGAGTGATGAGCACTTTTAAAGATCAGTGTGGTTGCTTGAATGAAAAACTGTGGCCATGCAAAACTGAGTTTAGAAATAATATGTATATGGAGTACATTTGCCTCGGTTTCCATCCCAAGTGCAGGAATCAGGGATGAAACTACTTGCTTTCCTTTCAGTTAAACATTTTTTTTTCCTAATTACATCACTTTACCCTGATTTACATGAGTTTTAGCTTCAAGAATCATTGGTCATTGCTGAATGCAAATAGGCACAAAGGAAAATTGTATTAAGTTTGCACAATTGATCTTTCATCATTTTAAATGGTACCTTTTAAAATTTCCTGTAAAATCAGCCTCAAATACTGCCATCATTGACAGTCATCAAGTAGAGCAGGGTCACTTTGGGAAAACCCATTTTCAGTGATGTAAATTATAGGGTTATTATACATATCCTAGAATGAGAGAGCAGAAGTTTTACTCAGAACAGATGTAAGAAAGCCCATAAAATCAGATGCATTACCCTCTGTCTTTTATAAGCTACAAACTAAAACTAGTTTTCATCAAATTGCACTGACCCTATTAACTTAATTTTCCATAAGCTGACCTTTTATGACTAACAATGGAAAAGCAAAACTGTGCAAATATCCATGAAGACAGTGAAATGACTTATTTTAATGAGAAGACTAAAATATCTTCCCTGCATTAGCATCTGCTTATTGTCACTGCTTCTTAACCCCTTGGCACTGGCAGCCACCACACATCCCATTGCCAGTAGCAGATGAATGCCAGGAAAGTCTTCCTGCTGGCATCAGAAAGATCATTTCTGGAGTTCAAAAGATGATATAACACTAGTGTGTCATTTAAAACTGTAAAATAACTATCAAGTACGAAGACAGTAAGAAAGTACTAAGGCTCCTACTCTTTACAGCCAGCATGCAAAAATTAAATCAAGAATCCCAAGGTGACTTGTTTATTTATATACTTATATAATATCTTATGCCATTAAGATGCGCAGAGAAGGGAAGGCAAGGCAAGGCAAGGCAAGGCAAGGCAAGGCAAGGCAAGGCAAGGAGCCAGTAAAGCCAGCTAGTAAATGATTCTGTGAGTCTCATGTATATAATTTGGAAGACAGTGAAAATTGCATAGCACTATTGCCAGCCATGAGCTCCCAGTTGCAACAGGCCAAGAAGAATCCATTATTTGTTCAGCTTCATGGTCCAATGAAATAGTTAGTTAGTAGTTAGCAGTGCTCATGCTCATTTTTCTTTCTTCTTTAATAAATTCTGGAAGCCTTAATGATAAGTAACTTTGATTAGAAATTATTGCAGAAATATGGAACTTCATGATACCTGGATACTCACTATCCATAAATATTGTTCTTATAAACCAGTCTAAAGGACAGGTACCTTTTAGTTGCTTCTTAATTTCTTACAAATTTTGAGTCCAGAGGGTCTACTTAATCTATTTTCACAGCTATAGGCACCAGTCCACATTCTTTAAGTATTAAAGGTCTCAAAGATCTTTTCAAATCTCCAGGCACTTTCATTTTTTAAGGGCTGAGGTAAGTCAAACTCATACAGTGTGACCATAGACAGGACACAATTTGCCAGAAGGTCATTAATGAATTTGTAGTAACTAATTCCTAAAAATATTAAAAGAAGAAAGCATAATGCTGATGGGTGCTAGTTACAGGAGAATATGGTCCTTTCATTTAAATGCTTGAATGAGATCATAGTGACATGTGCAAGACCAAAATGCTTTGGAAAAATCCTTACACTTGAATTCTGACAAATGGTTTTGTTCCTAATAAAAATGTTTCTTTCCTTGAAAAACTGTAGATTTAAAAAGTTTACTGTGAGACTCAGCCAGGTAACCAAGGTGGTCTTTTATGCTTTGAGCTCAGACAGGTAAATTGTTTTCCTAGGCTGTTCTGTTTTCCATCATTCTCCATAGCATCATCAAGACAAAGAGGATAATGCCAAGGCACTCCATATTTTTTAACTACAGAGAATCTAGAATGGTGTGAATTCAATGGCTCCCTCACTAGACAGGATGTCTCGCCAGATCTATCTGACATTTATGGCTTTTCACTGTGCTCTGATAGCTTTTAGATAGAATTTAGGGCATTGGTCTCTTTAGCTACCAACAGGAATGACTTGATATTAGTTTATCCAAGAAACCAACTCTCTTCCTTTTACACTGCCACAACTACAGACAGCTCTAGTTGCAAGAAGGAATTATCCAACTGTAATTTTCTGGATGGATTGTTTAAGCTGACCAACACTGAGAAAACTTTGGGGATGTATTTCTAGGGTCTTAACAGGAATTTAACTTCTGTTTGGATTTAGCTGTGGCTGACATGAATATGTTTCCTAAAGAACTATTTTTATGCTGCTGAGAGGTCACTGTAAGTTTAAATACAAGGATACTTTAAGCTCTCATACAAGCATCTTTAATTTTGCTTAACCCCAGATACAACTATGCTGGTTGGTTTTAATCTAATCTAAAATTCAATGAAAGTCCCCAAACTCTTGGTGGATTGAAATACAAAACTAAGAAAGGATTAAAGAGCTAAGAATATGGAAGAGAGGGGGAAAAGGAAGAAAGGGAGACTAGGCTGCACAGACTAACAAAAGGTATGATTAAGAAATGATGTATGGTATGAATTATTATTTTTAACAGATGGTGAATCTGAGATTTTTTTACTCCAAAACAGGCCACTTCTTGTTCATGAATAAATAAGTTTGTACTATACTGGCTTCTTCTCTTAGGTTTTTAGGTTCAGCTTACTCTGTGTTGATATTTAAGAATGCTGACACAGAACCCTATATTGCTTTATCTTGAAAAGGACAGTGTAAGAATTAAATTGCCCTAACTTCAAATGGCTGGTCTTAAGGATTTCTGTCGAGCTCTTTTTCTAATATAGCACTTACTGTAACAGGCAATTATGAACCCCAGATTGAGAGTGCTCCTTCCCGCAAACAAATGAACGCATATGCACCCTTTATAACAACAAGACTCAATAAGTTTTTTTACACAGTAATTCACAATAAATCTCACAGGTAGTTTGCTTTTCTTTCTAAACACAGCGGCACAAAAACACATTACATTCTGAAGCAATATATGGCTGAGAGTGCACCATGTAAAAAGGGATGAAATTCATCAGAATTTTAATATTTGAAAAAGAAAATTATTACAATTTGCATCCAGTTAGAAACAAATTCACAGGCTGTTACTACTGCCCCTGAGCAATGACATGTTTCACTTTAGCAACTGGTCTGCTCATGTGTTAACTGTTTGCTGATGGGCCAGCAAGGTTTAATGCAAAAACTTAATCTAGGGTTAATAAAATAATACGTTCACTGGCACAGGATCCCGTTTCATCGTATTGAGAGCAGTGCTCCCAAGAAGACAATAAAAGTTTCCGATTCTATTTTTCAGATTTTGTATTACTTCGCAAAATTTCTAACATTTAATCACAAACAGCTATCATTTTTTTACATATCAATTAAACACCAATAATGGAAAAGATTTATGCTTTGTGTTAGAAAGAGAAACTGCATCTCTGAGAAAATATAAATATCAAATCAAATTTCCAGATTGTTTCATGCTTTCCAAAATAGCCTGATCTCATTTTTATAGCTATCTCTGTAGGTCACCTAAAAGCAGAATGCAGAAGGAAGGTTTCTCCTGGGGAAAATAGGCATAGGTATACCAGCAGGTATACACAACTTGGATTGGAGACTCTCCAGACATTTCGGGATTACAGACATTAAGGAACACATGGGAAAATGAAGGCTTGTTCTTCTCTCTTTTCCATCATTTTTCCCCATCTTGATTCTCTGCCTTTTTGCTGAAGTAGGGCATAACACCATTTCTCCAAGAGACGCTGCCCCTATGCCTGCTACTTCTGTCCTCCTCCAGACTGACATCTAGTGTTTAACAGCTAACTTACTCTGCTCAGAGGAGCTCCTAGGGTAAAAACAAATGTACAAAAATTCTTTAAAAATAAAGTCAGGATAAGTTTTAACCTAAAACCTGACATTTCTTGGCAATAACAGACCTACAGCATTGCTGCTGTAAAAGAGCTTCCCACCACCACGTCATGAGTGGGAAACAGAAGGATTTTAAAGGTTTTCAAATGTCCTGCGTTTTAGGTGTGAAATTGATAGTGAATCAGTTGGCGTGAATGATTTTATTTGAAAGGACAGTGCTCTAAGCTTTCTAATTCTTCACATGCTCTTTGTAAAAATGTTTATATAGGAGATGATGGCCTTTCCTTGCGATTGAGCTACGATTGCTTCAACAGATCACTGCACAAGGGAAGTGAACTCCTGCCTAATGAAAACCGGCCTACTTGGAGTTCCTCCAATGCCCTTTTGCTAAACGTAAAGTTCATAATATTAATCAGGCAACTGCTTATACTGGAAATCGAGTGAACATTTTCTGAAATTATAGCTGAGGTTTGTCAGAATGTTGGCTTTCCTTATGAAGCACACCCCGCATGTCTGTTTGCTCTCCCCCACTCTTGACAACTAAACAATGAAACCTGTTCAGTAGCAGTGACAGACATGGAAGATACCACAAGTTCTCAGCCGAATATGAATTCAATAGGCCACACAACGCATTCCCGGAGAAACTGTGCTGCTAAAAGCAGGCTGTGCGCTGTACACTGTGGTGGCAAAGGCGCAGCCTGCAGTGAGGCCTCTATGGGATATTGGCGCAGTCTTGAAGCCCCAGCTGCAGGGGACGTGGGTGGCTGGTCTGTTTAGAGCAGAGTCACCAGTTCCCCTTGCAAATTCTTGAAACAAAGGCTCCACTTGCAGGTGGGAAGTGTCTCCTGCTGGATGCAGAGGAAGGGCTGCTGCCCACTTCAACAGCTGAAATTCTACAGGACCAAAATTCTGCAGCAAAACACTCCTTCTGGAGTATCCAGTATGGATCACAACAACCTGGAGGAGCATTTTTAAGACATTCCTTCCTTTGTAGCTTTCTATCTCTGCCATTTTTAAACCAGTGGGAGAAAAGAATTACCAAGGCAAATTCTTTCACAGCAGTACAAAGATATTTTCTCTGTTGAAATGAGATTCAAAGAGTAAGAGATAGGGCTGAGAATCAGACGTTCATCCAACTCTACTTCACTCTTTTTATGGGAACATTCTCCCACCAGCACACAGGAGGCCTCAGATAACTATCCTGATTCTCCTGTCCTTGATGGTTCAGCTTCATTTCCTTTTATTTTTTATAATTCCCTTCATTCCTTCTTTCTTCTTTTCCCCACAATGCATACATAAATCTGCCCTTTTCTTTCTTTTCATAGTAAGTCATCTTCAGTCTATACCTGAGGAGTTAAAAAAACAAAGCAGATGTGCAAAAAAATTTTGTATCTGACATTTAGTAATCTGACCAACCTGTTTACGTGCTGCATCCCTGTTAACTTAAAGTTTACATCACTTGATGAGATTGTGAAAACCCTTCTTTTCAGAGTGTGGACTGGCTTGTGTTTGCCACAGAACTAAGCATAATCTCTAGCTGAGTATGAAGAATTCCCCCTCATTTTCTAACTAATGAAAATATCTGCAGAAATTCTGTCTCTTATACAGCGTAAAACAGTAAATGTGGAGTTCAGTACATCTGGTTATACTGATAAACTATCTAAATGTATTGGCCAAATAAGAGATTTGTCTATTGAAAGCCATCCAAAAATATCCTCATGGCTAGGATCCCTGTAAGGATAAACATTTTGATGAAGCAAAGTGATTTAGAGTTACAATTAAAAAAAAAGGAGTAAGCAAAAAAATACATAGGAAACATAATACTAATCCTATCCCCAAAGATTTTGCTATCCAAGGGGATCTAGAATATTAATTAGTAAGTTGTTGCAAACCTATAAAAATCATCCCATAATTACTGTGAAAAAAGTTGCAATTTCAAAGCTACGCTGCAGAATAGCATACCGGATTAATTATGCCAGACTGCAGCAATAACCTTGAATTAAAACTGCAACCTTCTATTTTTAAGAAACAATTGCCTTTCTGGTTGATGAAACCTGTCGTCCCATCAGGTAACAGACGTGACCAGGAAAGAGAAAAGCGATAATGAGTCAATCCAAGCTGTTTGATACATTTCAAACCTTCCTCCCACAGAGTGTAGCTGCCACAAGCTACATCACCAGTCTGGTTCTTGAAAACTCGATCTCCTCCCTGATGGGTGAATGTGTCCCAGACATTAAGGCCTTTTCCATCTGCATTCCAGCCTCCTGATTAAAAAACAAAACTTGGTCGTTACACTTTTGATATCAAAAGACATATGTTGAATGTAAACATTTATCACAAAGCAGGCACAAGAATCTCAAAATTTTATGAGCAAATCAAGCAGCATTTGCACACCCTCCTCCGTTTTATTTGAAGTAAAGATTTTTCAAGCGTTAGTAAATATTTGCATCACGTTTTGCATTCATTCATATTTTTCCTTGCTGTTAATTATTTGAAAATCCTGTTTCAAAAACCATTCAGAGTTCTGACATACTTCATAATTTCTTAGCCAAAAGTCAGATGCTTGCAACTCTTGAGATATTGCATGTTCTCACAAAGGGCATTTTTGAATGCAGCTTCCATCAATAAATGTAAGAGATCAGTCCATATCAAAGAAAGCCTTTGGGGTATGAGAAATACATCCAACAAATAGACACTTATGGCTTTCTGGATGTCCTTTGAAAATCCTGACAGTCTGTTAAAAAGAAAGGAATGCCATTATGAGCCATGGCCCTAGGCATCTACAAGATGAATTAATAACACAGCTCTGCAAATCTTCTGCTTTTCGCTTAGCCAAACATTCACAGAAATGAATTTTGTAGGTTCAAAATCCCTGCACCACTTTATTCGCTCCCACAGTTCTGAGAAATTTCCTTGCAATTCTAAAATTGGGATAGAGGTTACCTTTAAAATATTTGAAACTTAGTTACTGTTTGCGATCTGACATTACACGGTATTTAAACAAAATAAATGCACCTTTCTTCATGACAAGCTTCTTTATCTTTTCAGAACCATGCTGTATCCCAGGCAAACATTTAATTTTTAATGTGAAGAGCTCTGTAAACTTACTCCTGCAAAGAGTGATTTTATCATAAAATTCCAAATAACCCCAAAACATCCGGCTTCTTTTCCCAGGGAGAATTTTCAGAGCTCCAATGAATACGCTGTCCTGAGTTACTCTCTAAAAACTAAAATGACATTGCATGTTAAAATCATGTATAAATTAAATATCAGTTGGGTTGTAAGATTAATAACTATATAATAGCTACATATCAATCCTCAATAAAAGCATTTTAATAATCAATTAGTATCATAGAAATTAGAGATGGAGGAGAACTATTAGGAGGTCATTGAGTCCATCCCCTGCCAATGCAAGATTGCTCCCTTAAGTATATTCAGTACTTAATACACATCTGTCTTATTAAATCTAAGTTTAATGCAAGGTTAAGCATATTGAAGACACTTAATTTAAAGCATTACTAAAATCTGTAATATCACTCCTATAACCTAGCTTTTCAAAGATCATTGTCACATTTCATGTTCTTTGCAGAATTTTATCACAGCACACGAACACCGATACATCTACATTTGGTTGATCAGTAAATTAAACTCTTATAGGGGACAACCTTCAAAGTAGGTCAATTTTTAGATCCAGACAGTTTAAGTTTCTCTTCCTCTTAGATTTTATCACCAACTTTGGGCTCTGTCAGAACATTCCTCAGAAAAAAATACAATACTAAAAATTTTCCATGTGCTGCTTTTGATTTCAAATATATCTAAAAGAAAGAAAGAAAGAAAGAAAGAAAGAGAGAAAGAAAGAGAGAAAGAAAGAGAGAGAGAGAAAGAGAGAGAGAGAAAGA